CACACACACACACACACACACACACACACACACACACACACACACACGCAGTGAATAACTAATGAAAAACGTTGATATGTGATATTCTTAAAAAAATCAAAACACTCATAAGGCAACCAACAGTTTATTTATTTTATAAGAAAATATTTGTTAATAAATGAATCATCAAGGGATTTAACACGTATTCAGGTAATAAATAGATGAAGGGACAAACCAGGAGCTGATCTGAGCTCATGAATGTCTAAACTACATAGTAACTCAAGGGGTAGCAGTCTTTGTCACTGTAATCTTGACAAGCTTTTCAAAGATAAGGATTGCCAAGAAGAGTTTTCCATTTATTCAAATACTACTGTGATCCTTTTTTTGGGAGTGGTGGTGGGTGATATGTAAGATCTTACTATAGACTGGGCTCAAATTTGAGATGCCCTTATCTCAGCCTATACAGTTTAGATTCAAACAAAATACAGACCAAGATACAGCCAGCTCCACAGGTAGAAAGAATACAAGACTACTTAGCACAGGGCTAGCAGAATTTCCTCCCCAGTCACGTAGGTCAGCTCTGAGCCTGTGCCCGGGAGCCTCGGAGGGAACCTTTACCTGGGCTGCTGGAGGAAGGCCACAGCGCGGGAGCCGATGTCCTTTCTGTAGACTGCTCCCTCAAACTTTATAGCAGTGAGTCCCTTCCTGGCTTTGTCAAGGGCTGACACAAGATTTTCCTGGACGGCTGTCACTGTGAGAACTCTGCCCCCACTGGTCACCACTTTGCCATCTTTAAGAGCAGTGCCTGCATGGAAGACCTGTAGTCCTAAAGCTTGGGCCTCAGCAAACCCTGTAGAAAGCATAGGGAAAAAAGACAGGGTCTTCACTATCTAGAGGATGCCAGCCTCAAACTCAGTAATCCTCCTGCCTGTGCCTTCCAAGTCCCAGGATTAAAGGTGTACTCTACCATGCCTGGCAACAGAGGTTCTGAGATAATTTTTCATCCTGTGCTATGGGGCTTACTTTAAAATTGCAGTTTCTGGGGAGAAACAACAATAACAACAGTAACAAAAAACAGAGCGAAGGTTTCAGTGAGGGAGAGAAAAAAGACCTGAAGTGGTCGAGACTTAAAACATATGGTTACTTTTTCTTCACAAGAGGCTTAAAAGGACTATTTCCTTAACATGTCAAACAGCCAGCTACCAAGACAGCTGCCTCTCCTCTCCTGTCTCCAGTGTGCTGTCTAAGATTTCTTAGTATTCTGAATACACTGCCACTTGGCACAAGTAACTTTATGCTTGTTGGCAGTGCCCAACACTGCTTCACTGGAATCACTGTTAAACTTCTCAGCTTCATCAATTCTTTTCAAAAGCAAATAGTTCCTGACTGTATGAAAATACAAGGTGACAGACTTCTTGCTTACTTTGCTGGGCAAGAAAATACAGTTCTCAAACAAAACAACTATTTGAGTACTACTGAAGGCTACACAACAGCATGCTAGGAACCACAGAGGTCTTTGGCTGGATAGCACATAAGTTTGAATTCTGCCACAGAATCACTCTCCAGCACACTGTACTGTCTTTAAAATCTTACTCATACTAACAAGCTGAATCTCACAGCATCCGGGAGGGTGGAAGTGCAAGGCTGCAATGGGATTATACCTGATTAGGTTCCTCACATTTCCTGGTCCAGGAAAGGCAACAAGCGGTAGCTGCTTGTAACCCAACTCTTATTCACTGCTACTCACCTGTGATCTCCACACCCTTGGTGTAGGCTCCGGGGTACCCTTTACTCGCCATGACAACAGTCAGGGCAATGTGGTTTTCTAGCCAAACAGGCAGAGACTCACTCAGCAGGCCATCTAGGGTGGACCGAAACACTTCATAGAGATCACTCTTAAGAAGAGGGAGGATTACCTGGAAGAACAGAGTCAGTATGGTGGATGAGATGGACTTTTAATAGTAGTCCCTTTATTTATCTATTATATTCATTGGGATACTAACAAATGTTTCTCAAAAGCAATTATATCAAGGCTGATAAAACTAAGAATAAAACAGTACTTTTATTCTAAAAAGTAGTTGTTTATTATTATTATTACTATAATTATAATTACTATCGTTATTACTAATATTACTATTACCATCACTGACAGTGTCTTTAAACCTGGCTACCTGGAACTCAAAGATCCATCTGCCTCTGCTCAAAAACATGCACCACCATACCAGGCAGTATTTTATTGATTGTTACCCACTTGGCATTCTGGATCACCAAAACGACAATTAAACTCCAAAACTTTTGGGCCGTCTTTGGTTAACATTATACCAGCGTAGAGAACTCCTTCATTAAAAAAGAGAAAAAAAAAAAAATGAGAGAAAGGAATTCTATAATGATGTAATAGTAACATGCATTATAACTATAAAATTCAGAATATAAATTGTTTTTTGAGACAGTCTCATGTATCTCAGGTTGGCCTTGAACCCATTTTGAAGTTGAGAATAGCCTTGAACTTCTGTCCCTCTTACCTCCATATCCCAGTTACTGGGATTACAGATATGCCCCACCATTCCTAATTAATAGAGATAGAACCCAGGGCTTCATGCATGGTGGGCATGCATCCTACCACCTGAGCTACAATTCCAGTCCTAGAATAGAAGCTTCCAAGTCTAAACATTTTTTCTGATTAGAAAAAGAGAAAACAAGTCCCAGCAAAAGTAGAAAGTGACTATACAGATTATCTGTGTCAGCCTGCTTACCTATGTAAGGCGCACCCTCCTGCCGCATGCCATCTACTGTTCTCTGAAGAATAGTGTTTTTAATTTTCAGTAACAGGTCTTTAGAAACCTGGGAGCAAAGAGAAACATTTAAATGTAACTGTTTTGTTTCTTAAATCATTTGTCCTGGGTGTGGAGGTGTATTCTTCTGATCCTAAGGCCTGGGAGGCCAACCTGCTCTACATAAAGAGTTCCACACCAGCCAGGGCTATGGAGAGACCCTGTCTAAAAACACAAAACAAAACATGTCTCATATTCAAGGACACATTTGTGGCAAATGTTAGTGTCTGTCTACTTTCCCTTCTCCCCAACACTTCACCAAACACATCAAAATAGTAATGCTCTGAGCCTGGGAAATGATGTCAAGTACAGGCCGGCTAACTTCCTGTCAAGTAGATCAGTGGCAATCACTATTTCACCACAACAGGGCTTAAAGTTGCTCACTCAAAATGTCCTCAGACATAATGCTAAAGTTAAAGGTTTTCTCGTTAGTGTATCCTTCTAGTACATTCTATGCAAAAATTTAAGCCTACATATCTTTTGGATAGACTTTGTAAATTTAACTGAGGCAATCAGGCTTACAGAAAGTTGTATCAAAACCTATAAAAGATGCTTGCGTTTGCTGTTTTGGGACAGGGCCTCTGCATGGAGCCCTGGCTGTTTTTGTACTCAGAGATTTGAGTTCTTTGCCTCACAAGTGCCAGGATTTAAGGCGTGTGCCACCGTCCCCGGCTCTGCTATTAATCTTTTAATCAAGGAAAGTACACAAATAGTATGATAGTACCACAAATAAAAATGATTATCAGCAATGAAAAGAATTGGGTGAGTTTCTAGAGTGCTAATCCATTCTATTTCAACAATGGAGATTTCTTTTCTTTTTTGTCTTTTTCAAGACAGGGTTTTTCTTGTAGCCCTGGCTGTCCTAGAACTTTACTCTGCAGATCAAGCTGGTCTCAAACTCAGAGATCCACCTGCCTCTACCTCCCAGGTGCTGGGATTAAAGGTGTACACCGCTGCATCTGGCTAATACAGATTTCTTTTTTATCCAGAAATTGGGAATACTGACTGTCAGTATCAAGTATAGAGAGCACAATTATGGCCTGTCCTGGATCTCAATTCATTATATATACATATTCATTTTATGTGTACTGTATTGAGAGAGGAAGAGAAAAACTAAAGGTCTCAAGGGATTAAAACATGGGTATACACAAGTTGGGAGGGACACAGACCTCACTGCATTTCCACAATAGATGGCTGTTAGCCCCTCAGAAGCGGTTATTACAGACCAGGAGAACGTCTGCCTGACGGTCAGATGCTGGTGCACAGTACCTGAGGTGCCGGGCAGTAGGCTCCCATTCCCCCTGTGTTGGGGCCCTCATCTCCATCCAGTAGTCGTTTATGGTCTTGTGCTGGGGGCATTGGGGCCACCATCTTCCCGTCAGTGAAGCAGAGACACTGTGGAGAAGACAAGTCAGTCCATTTACACTAAATACCTGAGAGGAAAAGCTCTCATTTCTGAAGAAAACGTGTAAAACAATTCCATGAGACATGGCAGGAACCCGTGGATGCCCGACTTGTAAAGGGGCTGCCACACATAACAACCTACGGACAAAGCTTTTCCCCGGGACAACGATCACCCTTCCTGCTGTTGAGAGCACCAGGCGCTCACACTGTGTGTAAGGAGCACTTCCTGTTTAACAAGTGTATGGGAGACATATAGAACCTCTGCAAAGTGATTAATACAAGTGTCCCCACCAATGTCTAGACAGTGGTTCTCAACCTGTGGGGTGTGACCCCTTGAAAAAGGTTGCATATCACATATCCTGAGTATCAGATCTTTACATTACGATTCATAACAGTAGCAAAGTTGCAGTTATGAAGCAACAACAATGTAATTTTATGTCTGGGGGTCACCACATGAGGAACTGTCCTAGAAGGTCAGTGCTAGGAGGGCTGAGAGCCGCTGCCCTAGGGGACGATCGAGAGACCACACACTTTTGTTCCTCTGAATCTCGGGTGTGAGTGAATCCTCTGAAGCTGCTGGGGCTCATGCTCTGAGGAAGCCACCAGAGCAAATGGAATTAAAGGCAAAGAGATGGCTATACGTACAGACACTTCTTCCCCTTCCAGAGACTCTTCTACAACAACCGTTTCCCCAGAGGCTCCGAAAGACTTCTCCTAGTTACACAAAGTAAAAGGCTTAGTAAATTGTAAACTTTTAGTATTTAGTAAGTCAAATGACAGAACTGTTTTCCATCTGAGCCATGAAATACAAGAGCACTGTAAAGCTTTCTTGCCTGAAGACGTAACAGGAATTTTTCTGGTCTTTAATGTGGCAGCAGGTAGAGCTCAACTGTACAGATGTTACGGACACATTTCTGATACTTTGCTGACAGCTTTATGATCATCATTTCATCTTTATTCCTAAATATGGTCAGGTAGCTTTGCCCACAAAATTATATAAAACTGTGTATGTGAAAATTTCTCTAAGAGGTTAAGTCATAATCATCAATATGGATTATGAAAGAAACATTGTATTCCCTCACTGTTCTACTTTGAAACATGGGGTAAATGTCTTTTGTTCTCATGGCTGCTTGGAGACTGATCTGTAAGTCCCTCGGCTGAAGACTTTGTACTTTTCTGTAGCAGACACTAAGCTGTTAGAAGTCACTTCAAAAGAATGAGTCATGGTTTAGAAATTGGTGTAGTTCTGTACTAGCATTTTCTAGAGATGGACACCAGTACAATGAAAACTACCTTCCAGTGTGCGGCACCTTCTGCAGCCCACTCTGTAAGCCTGCAACATTTGTCATAGACAAGAGAATGAACCTTCCAGAAGCATCCACCTACTTGCATGATCTCCTGTACAGCTCTGCAGGCTTCCGCTTTGTCCTTTGCAACAATCACCCCTTTCCCAGCTGCGAGGCCACTGGCCTTCACAACCAAAGCAGGAAAGTTGGCACTGTGAAGACAGGGCAGCTTTATTACCCACTAAACTGTCACAACACACACAGCTCCAGTGTTCTGTCATCTGTAGCACTGCCTCAGCAGAATGGACAGGTACAGAGAAGAATATCACTCCAGGTACTTTCTGCCTAGATTTTCCTTACATATTCCTTTATGCTGAGCATACAGCACACATACTTATGCTTTTCTCACAGAGTGAGGCCATATAAGGAAGAACCGCTAACACAAGCAGAAAACCAAAACAAACAAACAAACAAAAACCCAAGCAAATTTGTAGAGCAGATATGAAATAATCTTTAAGATACAAAGCAGAGAATCTCACTATCATAAAGACACTGCTGTGTGAGATTAACACTGGCAGACACCCACAGACCATTTCTAGAACACAGAAAGCAATGTAATGGGCCTGGGGATCTGGAAGGAAGCTTAACCAAAGAAAGTAACAAAGCCTCTGTTACTAGGTAATAATACTCACTGTTTAAAACACTCTGTAGGGACCAGTGGGACAGCACACACCTTTACTCCCAGCACTTGGGAAGCATAGGCAGGTAAATCTCTTGAGGTTGAGGCCAGACTTATCTACAGAGCGAGTTCCAGGACAGCCAGGGCTACATAGGACCCCCCCCCCCCACCAAAACAAAACAAAACAAAACCCTGTAGGACGAAGAATGAATAAAGAATGAACTTAGGTCCATGAGGTGGCGGACCTGAGCTAGATCCCTGGAATCTACATGATGGAAGGAGAGAACTGACTCCTACAAGCTGTCTTCTGAGAAGTGTCAAGTCTTGTACACACAATAAAAGTGATTAAAAAAAAGGAAGACCCAACTGAAAGGAAAACACCAAGGGAAAGAATAACGGGGGAGAAAAGGCATGTGTTTACAAACTCACTGACTTCTCAACGTTCTTCCACACGCAGGAGGGAAGGACACTTAATGGACTCACGTGCGATTCCCTGTACCTACATAGTGGCTCAGAACTCCAGGGGATCTAAGTCCTCTTCTCATATTTGTGGGCATAAGGCCATCATGCAGGCAGAAGACTCATACATAAAAAAATAAAAAAAATCTAAAAGCAAGCAAGTAAACAAACAAAGCCTGTACAAAACCAACCAAACCCCTGAGTATCCCAGCCTTGGGAAACTGATCTTCAGCTTCTACCTCCTAAGTGTTGAAGAATCCCATCTTACTTTAGTGTTGAAAAAGAAAACTATTTTAGTTAGAGTATCTTTTTCATAATTAATTATGGCTGTCCTGAAACTCAACTCTATAGACCAGGCTGATCTCAAACTCAGATTTGTTTGCCACTGCCTTTCAAGTGCTGGAAATAAAGGCTTGTGCCAATACCACACTAGCTTAAACACTGTATTTTTAATATGAAAGTGACTTTACATTTAAGGTCGCCTTTCACCCACCTCATAATGAAGCTGCAGGCATCTTCAGGCTTGGTGAATGCTCGCCACTGTGCGGTTGGGATTCCATGTCGGTCCATAAACTCTTTGGCAAACTTTTTACTGGACTCTAACTGAGCTGCCTGTGCTGTGGGGCCAAAGCATCGTACTCCTGCAGAGGTCAGGTCCTCAACAATCCCTACAGAAGCAAACAGATATCTAGGCAATCCATGGTCTGTCTAGGGATTTAGACTAAATATGAATTATGATTAAAGTTGAAGGGGCGAACAGCTCCTCTTCGAATGTATTTTATTACAAATCTTCCACCACAAATGAATTGGATGCAATGACCTCTAAACTTCTGCAGACACTGCATACGGTGTAACAGTGAGAAGTGGACTTTACCTGCAGCCAGAGGGGCCTCTGGTCCAACAACCACCAATTCAATCTTTTCATCTTTGCAGAACTGAGCAAGGGCAGAGTGATCATTGATGGAGACAGCTGTAAGCAGAGAATGTAAACTCACACATGTGCAAAAATATCTTCAGTTAACCAAATAAACTAAACAGGACCCTTAGTAAGGTAGCTAAAAACTAAGTTAACTGTTGGTTTTGCTTTTGTTGGTACAGTTAGTTAACAATTTTCATAATTAGAAACTCCAAATAGTGCATTAGGCTAAATAAATAAAGCTCAGTAGCCAGCTGAGTGACTCCCCAACATTAAAACACTAACTGTCCTTGTCACCGTGTTGGTTACATAGTAAACAGACAAACATAGAAAATACAGTTAGAAACTTGTTTTTTTAAAACGTCTTCAAGAATTGAATACTAACTATGTGTTAGGTACTGTGATAAACCCTGCAATTAAGATTTTAAACTAGTATCTTCAATCTTAGATTACTGATAATCTACTGCATGAATACTAGTTAATAAATATATAAACAAAAGCAAATATCAACAAGTTGCTCTAAGGCAAACTGGGAAAGTAGTTGTGGTTGAGCTGGGAAGAGTCTTTGAGGCAGAACTGTTTAAGCAAAGAAGGCAATAATGATTCCATGTGAGAAAACTCTCCTGCCTGTCCAGAGGAAGGCAGCTTCTCCATCCAAAGACACTGCCCCAGTGTAACTAACCATATCTGTGCAGAGGCAACGAGAGAGGGCGCACCCACCCTCCCTCAGCTACTGCAAATGCCTTAACTTATGAAAATCCTGGGTGATTCTAATGGGTGTGGCCCAAAACCTCAACTGCAAACACATAAACAGATACAATATCCTGTCTCTAGATAAAGCACTTCAGAAAAGGAGGCATTTTCTTATTATTTCTGGCTTTCCCGATTCTCTCTATAAATATGCTATGCCACATTGGCTATTGTGTAAACAAGATGAAACAAGACAGAACTTTGCAAAGGCGAGGTGAGAGGCTTGAGTTTTGTCCTAAGTCCTGCAAACTATTCAGTGCAGTTTATGAACTGATCATTAATGAAACCATTCACATCTGACAGCCTCATTCAACTTTTCATTTACAAAAATATGCATAAATACCTTAAATCTACATTGTGTATGTTAGCTTTTCAATCACAGTGGCTTAAGATAAACCTTATATTTACCACACACAATGAGAATTCATGTCACTACTTTAAAGATGTAAAGTTAGAGAATGCATTCAAACTTAGATACAAATATATCCCATTAAAGAGCATTTGGGAACTATCACTTATTATCAACAAATATTAACCACTACTCCCCATCTGGAAACATAATTACCAGCGTTTGAGATCTTCCCGGAACAAGCAGTGCCTGCATTTCCAGGGGCAACTAACACTTGACTGACATGATGCGACTGTGCAAGTTTCCAGGCCAGAGTGTGCTCCCTTCCTCCACTGCCAATAACAAGAACTCGGGCTGCCATTGCTGTCTGCAAAGCAGAAATTCAGAAGCAGATAAACCTGTAGAAAGAAAGCCACAGTCGATATTTTAGAATGCATGTATTTAGAAAATTTTTTTTGTGTTTTATTTTGTTAACTTTTAGGTGTACAGGTGTTTCACATCCATGCCTGCATGCCTGTGCGTCCAGAGGCCAGAAGAGGTTGCTGGACGCCCTGTTGTTGTAAGTGGGTGTTAGCCACTACGTAGATGCTGGTAATGGAATCCCAGCCCACAAGAAGAGTAGCAAGTGCCTGTGAGTGCTGAGCCATCTCTCCAGCCATTCTTTTAGTGTTTTTGAGTCAGTCACACAACGTTGCCCAGGCTAGCCTCCAAGTCATGGCAAGCCTCTTGTTACCTTCCAAGTATTGGGATTACAGTACTGGGTGGTAGGTACTGTCACCGCTGGCTGTAGAAACCACAAATTTTTATTATAATTGCTTCTTTTTATACAAGTGACAATTTATCTGGAGAATCATTTAGAATTTGGGATTTTTGGCAGGACAAGGTGGAGCATGACTTTGATCCTAAGTACTCAGGAGGCAGAGGCAGTCAGATCTGTTTCAGGCTAGCCAGGGATATACAGTGAGACCCTGCCTCAAAGAACAAAACTAGAGCTAGAGAAAGCTTAGTGGTACACTTAGTGGTACACTCCTTTAATCCCAGCACTGGGAGGGAGGGGCAGGCAGTTCTCTGAGTTCAAGGACAAGGCCTATGGAGTGAATTCCAGGACAGCCAGGGCCACAAAGAGAAACAGTGTGACAAAAAAAAAAAAAAAAAAAAAAAAAAAAAAAAAAAAAAAAAAAAAAAACAAGAGCTGGACAGATAGCTCAGGCTGTTCTTTTCAGAGAACTTTTGTTCAATTCTGAACATCACATCCATACGGTGGCTAACAACCATCCGTGACTCCAGATCCAGGGGACCTGACCTTTTTCACTGGCCTCCCTGGACACAAAGTACACATGTGGGACACACACATTCTGGTAAAACACCCATACACGTAAAATTAAAAAAAAACAAAAACAAAAACAAAAACACAAAACTGGAAAAAAGAGAAAAAAAAAAAACCCTCAAAAATTGGAGGTTAGACTTAGAAAGATGACCATGATAACGGGAAAAGAAGGCATGTGAAATGAGGCAGGCCCGCTTACAGTTAGGCTAAGGGAGAGTGCTGGTTCAGCTCCTGCTAGGTTGAGCGCCCTCCAAGCTGCGAGGCATAAAGAGGACGGAAAGAATGTACTATGGTATGCAGAGATGGCGCTCTGGGTAATGACTATGTTTAGATGAGGGCAGCAAGGTGGAACACCCATGATTAAAACCTGGAAGTTTTTGTTGTTGTGAACTCATCTGTATCCCAGGCTGGCCTGGAACTCATAGAGATTGGCCTGCCCTGTGGAGAGCGGGGATCAAAGGTATGGGTCACAGTCCCAGCTTTTGTTTGCTTTTCCAGGTTCTCACTCTGGAGTCTTGGCTGGCCTGGAGCTCATATATATTCTTACCTCTGCAGTGAGGCCTAAGTTGTTTTATTTTATTTTTTAAATATGAGGGACAAAGGCCACACAAGATGGAAGCTTGCTTGCTATGAATCTTTTGTCACAGGACAGCTAGTGCGATGCATCAGATGGGGCACCTTGACTGCACGCATCCATAACTATAAGCAAGAGCAAATATCTTCTCTTTATAACTTCTCCAGTATGTATTATTCTAACAAGCCCAACCAACCAATGAAAAACCTGTAGACTAATACAATGCCTTCTCTGAGAAATTATCCAACAATCTTTTTTCTCTTTTGCAAGATATGATAATCATTAAGCCTCAGCAATAAAATGGACTTTGGTATCTGCTTATTTATCTAGGAACGAGGATCCGCTATTTTGCCTATATGTGACCTGAATTCCTGGGCTCAAGAGATTCTCTTGTGCCAGGCCATAGTGGAGGACTCCTTTAATCACAGCATTTGGGAGCAAGAGGCAGGAGGATCTCTGAGTTTGAGAACAGTCTGGTCTAGAGAGAGAGTTCCAGGACAGCAAGAGTTACACAGAGAAGTCCTGACTCCAAAATCCAACCTCTCCCAATCAAAATAAAACAAACAAAAAAACCAACAAAAGAACCCTCCCCTACAAAAAAGGAGAGATTTTTCTTGCCTCAGCCTTCCAAGCAGCTGAGACAAATATAGGCATGTGCCATTATACCCAGCGCTGACGGTTTAAATTTAGACCCAAATTTAAACCCTGATGTGGTAAGGAGGCTAGGCATTAACAGTAGAGTTTCTCTGTCTCTACTGAGGACCAGAAAATAAATATTCTACTCAGAATCTGTGAAATTGCAGTACTAGTCTCTACACAAGGAGAGGATAGAAGCCTGGGCTCCGGGGTCAACACAGGAGGACCAGGAGAGACTTTTGTAACTTTCTTGAGTGTCAGTTAATTAATAGGAAACTTACGGCGAGAATAAGAGCCAGATAAGGAGAGAATAGAAGAATCGGGTAAAACTAATTCCAAAGGTTTAAAAAGTAGAAACCAAATATAAAAGGGGTGCAGGTAAACCATTAGTGACAACGCTAACACCAAACTATAAATACCCATCGATATAAATACCCGGTCGGTCTTCAAAAGGCACGGATGCACAGAAACCCGGACCCGGGCAGAACTGGAAAGCTGGCCACGCCGACCTCGGCCAAGGCCGTGAAAAACTACGCGGCCTCTTTCGGCAGCCAAACCAGTTTCCACAACAGCACCGGTCTCTGCCGTTAAAGCCACAGGTCAAAACGTAAACGCAGTCCACGCATCACTCTAGAAACCAAGGGGTTCACGCACCTGCAAGCCCCGCCACGCTGCTCCCACTCGCAGCCGCCGGAAGCTGGCCCCGGGATTCCGGCGCGCTCCGGCCTCCGCCCCGCCCCGCCGGGCTCCACCGCCCCATTGGCCGGCCCGCCCGCCTCGGTCCCCGCCCGCGAGGCGACCCCGGGGTTCCTCCCGCCCTAGGGCGCGGCCACGCTCGGCCCCGAGTCCCCGGTCGCACTCTTAGCGCTGACACTTGTCAGGGCTGCCACGTCAGGTCCCCACGTCTGCCCCAGAGCCTCCGGCTTCGGGGGGGCCGTGGTCGCCGAACCGCGGGTGCCGAGCAGGCGCCGGGGCGGTCGGCGCGCGTCCCAGTGCAGCTTGTCTAGAACGCAGGCCGCTCACCCCCCTCCCAGCCTTGGCTAAAAACACGGGAGGCCGGTTGTGGGAGTTGTCGAGGCGGAGGGGAGTCGCTCCTGTCCATTTCACAGTGGGGACCCGGGGTGAGGATTTCTTTTCAAGCACCACTTCCTGGCCAAAGTAAACTTGGCGCTTGCAACAAACGCGCTACAGCTCCGCGCCAGACACCCTGGCGCCGTTTGCTCCCCTCCTCACGGCCTCTAATCTCGGACATTAACTCGCTACAGAACGCCTCCTAAGAACGCCCGCAGGCTGAGGGGCGCGACAGCCGAGGCCGGCGCAGCCGTCTCGGGAGCGACTTCTCCTGTAATGGCGCCTGCGTCAAACACTAACATGGCGGACGAGTTCGTGCGCGGCGCAAACGTCAGCACCTCTACCCGAGCGGCTCAGAAACAGCGGAGGAGAGCGGGGCGGTGCTCGCTGATTGGCTCGTGGGAGGAGCGAGCCCGTCCGGACGCTCCCCCACGAGCCAATCAGGAAAGGGATAAAAGGAATTGGCCGCTGCGACTCCTCCCGAGGCATGCTGGGAGCCTGGAGGACTAGCGAGGAGGAGTTGAGAGAACGGAGCGGACGCCATGGCGGCCGACATCGAGCAGGTTTTTAGGTCTTTCGTGGTCAGTAAATTCCGGGAAATACAACAGGAGCTTTCCAGGTAAACTATTCCCAGACTTTTCTGCCCCTCGCGGGCTGTTAGGGCCTCGTCTATCCGTCGGTGGCATCTTTCACGGAGACGCCGTCGTTTCTCGGCTCAGGCCCCGCTACGGCCCCGCCTGGGCCTGGGATCCATTTTCCGGGCCATCCCCCCAGTCCTCCGTTCGTTCCCTTCGAGAAAGGTCGGCCCTTCCGCGGTGTTCGCGCACACCGTTTCTCTCTTCGAGTTAAGACGTCCACCTTTCTCTCGTTTTAGACACCCCCTACCCTTCAGCTACTCGGAGGCCCAGTGTCCACCAGGGACGGGCCTAGTTCCTTCCCCAGCTCCTCCTCCGCCGCCGCCTCTCCCCTCCCCCTCCCCGCCTCCGCGCATTTCGCCGGCCGGTGTCTATGGCCGGAAAGGGTCTCTAACGGCCGCTTCTTGGGTAATCTTCAAACTTCTTTATTATTGTACGCTTCAGATCGTTTGGCGACCGGAATCTGTCTATTAGACGATTCGGACCCCAGTTAGTGCTCTGTTCTTTAGACTGGGTAGTACTCTTTTAACAGTTGTAAACGAAAACATTTCAGTTCAATATAAGACATAGGATGAAATATTCGACAGGAGGATAGAAAGGGTCTTTGAAACTAATGGTTGCTCAGTTTTATTAAGTAGAAAGTGGGCTGTGTGTAGATCTGTATTTTTCTTGCTACCCCGACTTGATGGATCTGAAGAACATCGCGCTGTTTTTGTCACTGCTAGTAGACTGAAGAGATTAACCTTGGTTCTCAAAATTTCAAGTGAAAGAGATTTCCAAAGTTGTCTTCTCAGGAAAATGGTGTAGGATAAGTTAAGTGGTTTATTTTATGTAAAACGACAATTTCTTTAAAATGCAGTAGGAAAAGAGATATTAAAATAAATATTCCAAGGTAAAGTTTTTATGAATGGTGTAAGTTGAGAACAGAGCAATGAGTTAGAAAATCAGCTGATAAGGAGTTGTAAAATACTTGTCCAAGCTATCTAGGCTTATTGGTACTTTATTGCTGGAATTTTCTTTTTTTTTTTCAAGATACCGTGGTTTGGTTTTGCTTTTATTTTTTTCTTGTGGATGGGCTCTAATCTCAGAGTTAACAACCTTGTCATGTCTCTGAAACTGGCCTCTTGTTGGGTGGGATCACAATTTTTTTTTTTTTTATATTTATCCCCACCCCCACGGGATTTCTCTGTGTAGCCTTGGCTGTTCTGGACTTGCTTTGTACACCAGGCTGGCCTTGAACTCAGAGATCTGCCTGCCTGCTTCTGTTTCCCTGAGTGTTGGGATATATGGCCAGCATACCGTTGCTTTTTAAGATTTTGAGACATTGGCAGAATTTTTTTTAATGAGATAAAACATAAGCTAGGGGAATAACATTTTTCCTGAAAACTTGTTTTGTTTTGAGATAGGGTCTCTGTGTAGCTCTGGCTGACCTAGAACTCACTATGTAGACCATGATGGGCCTGAACTCACAAGGATCTGCTTGCCTCTGCTGGGGTTAAAGCCCTATGCTACCAGCACCACTCTCCTGAAACTTAGCATTTTCATTTACTAATTGTTTTTACCTTTTTTTTTTTAGTGTGGGGGGTGTACTGTGTGTGTGTGTGAGCGTGTGTGTGTGTGTGTGTGTGTAGCCCTAGTTGTCATGGCTCTATAGATCAGGCTGGCCTTGAACTCACAGAGATCCACTTGCCTCTGCTGGCATTAAAGGCCTGTGCCACCATGCCCTGCTAACATGTCTTCTCTTAATGCAATCATTTTGTGTTGTGTTTTAGACATAATGTACTATGAACAGGTTTGTCCTTCAAAGTCTCCATAATTTGAACATTTTTTGTAACTTCATATACTCCTTTTTAGGATAAATTGTTAGACAGCGAAGTAGCTTGAAATTCTCGTTGCTTTTCAGTATGGCTTTAAGGAAAACATCTTTTATAGATTGACTTTTTAAAAAAATATTTTTTGTGATAGATCCACCTTCCTCTGCCTCTGCCTCACAGTGGCTGAATGGCCATGATGCCTAGCCCTGGCTGGAACACACCTTTAATCCTAGTGTTCAGGAGGCAGAGGCAGGAAACTCCCTCTCAGTTAGTTGGTCTTTAGTAGAGAGTTCCAGGCCAGACACAATAGAGACCCTATCTCAAATTTAAACAACAACAACAACAACAACAACAAACTGTAAAGAAGCTAGGTGAGGTGGCAAACACCTTTAATCCTAGTACTTGGGAGGCAGAGGCAGGAAAATCTCTTGAGTTCCAGGCTGGCTATGCCTACACACAGAGAATCCTTGTCTAGGTAAAATAAACTGTGCAAAGAGCATTAGAAAAAGCAGCATGCTTTAGGGCATAATTTGTCTAAAAAGCTTTTTAAAACTTGACACTTCAGTGAGCTGTTTTTTTTCCCCCCCATTTGCTTATGTATTCATCAGTATAGGTGGTGAGACTAAAGTTTAAGTGGCTGATGTACACAGTTGATTATATATAGTTTTCCCCTCTGTTTATAGGAACAACAGTAATCCTGATTGTAGAGTCTTGTTAAAATTACATGATTTCAAAACATATATGGAAGGCTAGGTATGGTGGTACAAGCCTTTACTTTAGTTGTTAGGCAGAGGGGACCAGATCTCTGAGTTCAAGACCAGCCAGAGCTACAGTGAGGCCTTTGTCTTAAAAACAAAAACAAACAAACAAAACCCCCCAGAAGATGGCACAAGTCAGTACTTGCTAATTATTAGCCTTAACAGCGTTTGATGTGTTAGAAAGTCATTCTCACTGAAGTGTTTCTCTAATGAAACTCTTAGCAGCTAGTAGTTTTATATGTATTCAGGTAGTAAAATTCTAATTAAAACTGAATTTTATATATATGTTTTTTGCAAGTTTACTTAAAAATAGTTAAAATGTTTATATGAATGACCTTGCCTTATCTACAATAATATTCTTCTGGCCCTGTGATCTGAAAATAGGCTAAGCCATTTACTATTTTACTGTTAGTATAAATGAACTGCTACTTTTTCTGTGTGAATCTTGAAATTGTTTAGTAGCAGACCTTTTTTTTTAACAGGTATAAATTACTAGATTTACTTTTATTTATAAATTTTAACAGCATTTGAGTCACATTCTGAACCTGAAGAGAGGCTACAGTAACCTTTTTATCTAGTGTTTGCCTTGATTTGTTGTGATCAATGGACAGGTGTGGCTTTATTGTGGCCACACTTCCTACCATAATATTGGATCATCTGTTTTTGTGAAATGGCTCATTAATACTTAGTTAACTGAAAGGTTTGTTACTTTAATAATAATAATAATAATAATAATAATAATAATAATAATAATAATATAACATAGTATGTTAAATAAAATAAAAATATAATAATAATTAGTAGTAGTTTGGTTTTTTAGACAGAGTTTCTCTGTGTAGTCCTGGCTGCCTTGGAACTCCATCTCTAGACCAGGATGGCCTTGAGATCCTCCTACGTCTGTCTCCTGAGTGCTGGGATTAAATGTGTGCACCACTATGTCCAGGTTACTTTAATTACTTTAAAAACACCTTTAGAAATTTGATTTTAAGAATTTTTCTATTAACTGTCACAGTTCTGAAAACTAAAAAAATTAAAAGTAAAAATTTTTATATCTGAGCATCTAGTGTTGAAGAATAATTACTAATGGCAAACTCTGAAATAGAAAATTGTGACATGTATGGGCAGTACAATGTAAGGTTATGTTAATTACATTATTAATCTTGAATTATTGATTTGTTATGGTATGATAAAAGTATTAATGAATTTTGAAAATTTTTCTTGTCAAGTGGAAGGAGTGAAGGCCAGCTGAATGGTGAAACAAATACACCTATTGAAGGAAACCAGGCAGGCGACACAGCTGCCTCTGCAAGGAGTCTCCCAAATGAAGAGATAGTGCAGAAGATAGAGGAGGTCCTTTCTGGGGTCTTAGATACAGAACTACGATATAAGCCAGGTAAGTTGAAGATAACTGTCAGTTTCAAAAACCTTTTGAAATTAAAAATCTTTTGA